CCGGTCCCCTGGTCTTCGATCTAACCCCCAACCCGGTCCTATCTAACTCTGGTCCTCTGCTCCGCCCCCTCCTGCTCCCAGTCTCTGGTTGCTCCAGACTCACTCACTCACGTCACTTCTAGTCTGGTCCCGCCCCCTCAGGACGTTCATTGGTAGCCGGGCACTGGTACGCGGCTGAGGGGGGGTTGGGAGGGGACTGGAATTACCGGCGAGAGCCCGGAACCGAGTGGGTACCATGGAGTGAGACCCGTGCGAGGTGAGTGCGGGCTGTCTGCGGGTGGGGCGCGGGCTGCCGCCCAGGCCTCCCAAGGCCAGAGTACCAGCGCTGACGTTCTGTTTCCCGCAACGCTGGCGGCTTCGGACCCTTCCTCCTGGAGCCCCGAGGCCACCGCCCGCCGTGTCGCCTTGGTTCTCGGACCTCAGCCCCTTAGGGCCCCTCTCCATTGGCAGTCTGCCCTGGCGTCCCAGCCTGTGGTGTGAAGCGCTCGCCCTCCGCTTTGGGGGTTGGGGAGTGCGGAGGAAAGGGCCCTAGAGAGCGGCCGGCTCCCAAGCTCCTGCTGTTCCTGTGGTCCGCGGAGTTCCCCGTGACCCCTCCTGCAGCCCTGGCCCCCCTTAACTTCATCTACTCCTTTCTGCAGTGAGGTGTGTGTGGCCTCTATCCTCCTTAGGGGACCTCCGCTGCAGGTCCTATTTTGAACTGGCCCCCAAGTTCTCTAGTTCTCGATGGTGTCCAGACGAAAGTGTAACGAGACATGCACAAATTTCTTCCCTTGCCTCAGTTTCCCCCGCTGGATCCTGGAATAAATCTTTTGGGAAAGAAAATTTGAATAGAAAGGAATGCTTCTGGTAATCGGAGTGGATGAGTCACTCTGAACTGAGGAAGGTCAGAAAGTAGCTGGGCCAAGGGAATGGCCTGCTTTTGACCAGGCTTCCCCTTTTCTGGGCTTGTCTTTCTTTGCCCCCAACCCGGCCCTTGGGTTGATCACCGCCCTGGTCTATCTTCCCAGATCAGAGAGTCATTGGAGCTACCACAACCAGCATGGGGCCCTGGGGAGAAACAGAACTCCTGGTGTGGCGCCCAGAGGCAGGATCTTCGGAGCCCCTGGTGCCTGTGGGACTGGAGGTGAAGTTGGGGGCTCTGGTGCTTCTGCTAGTGCTCACTCTCCTGTGCAGCCTGGTGCCCATCTGTGTACTGCGCCGGCCTGGAGCTAACCACGAAGCCTCAGGTCAGTCAGCCTCTCCTCTTCTACTGCTATGAGTGCCTGGTTTAGGGAAGGCTCTGGGGCTGAGGGAGGTGACTTAAGGAGGAGAGGAAGGCAAGAGTAGCTAGCCATTGCTTGGGTTGGGGTTGTGGGGCCTGCAGGGGTCCATTTGCTCATTCCCACTCCTGCTCAGCTTCTCGCCAGAAAGTCCTGAGCCTGGTAAGCTGCTTCGCAGGGGGCGTCTTTTTGGCCACCTGTCTCCTGGACCTGCTACCTGACTACCTGGCTGGCATAGATGAGGCTCTGGCGGCCCTGCATGTGACGGTGAGCACTGGCATGGGCATGTGACGCTCTGTGTGTGGGGTGTGTCCAGTTGCATACCTCTAGGAGTGATGGTTTGTATAGATCTGTTCACAGATCACTCCGTGACTATGTGGAAGGCTCTTGGCACGTTACTCTATGAACTGTGATTTTTGGTCTTAGGACATAACTCTCAGCCCTCTCTCTAGTCCCTGTGTGACCCCTATGTGCCCCTTGAAATAGTGTGAGAAACCTTATTATCAGATGTGTGACCTACTCTACGGGTTTCTCAGTTCTAGCCATCAAGAAGTTAGGAGTGCTGCAAGAGTCATCTTCATTCTCTTCCTGTTTTCCTGAAGGGCTGGTTGTAGAAGTCCCTGTAGGCCTAGGAAGGATAGGAGGCAATTCCCAGGGTCCTGGTATTGCTGACCAAAAGGCTTTAGCGGGAGGAAGTGGGATGTAGAGAATGATCAAGTCCAAAGCATAGCAAAGCCTCACTATAGAAAAACTGAGACAGTGGGTGGTGGTACAGGGAAGTTATCCTAGACTCTGTCCTGTTTTCTTCCCCTAAAACTGAGGAAGTAACCCTCAGGATATAACCTTTTCTGTGTCTATTACTGAGTGATCCATGTCTCCATGTGACTATGTATAATAAGCCTGAATGACCTTGTGATGATATGTGGCTCTGCGTGTGAACATTTGGGGAGGTGGGCCAACATTTGATCCTTTTGTGTACATCTATATTGGTGACGCTCTTTTTTTTGTTATTGAATGGTAACTATGTACATTAATGCACTTCTGGGGTACAGTGCAGGGTTTTCACATGCAATCCGAAATACTTCCATCAAACTGGTCAACACAGCCTTCATGTCATTTTCTCAGTTATTGTTTTAAAAC